ATTATAACCCTTACTAAGTAGAATTCTCCTTTCTGTGTTGCCGGAAAAGGGGACCGGAAGTATTTTTGCGCAGAACTTCTTTCTGCGTAGGCGGCCTTCGGCCGCGCTTAGGGATTATAACCCTTACTAAGTAGAATTCTCCTTTCTGTGTTGCCGAAAAGGGGACCGGAAGTACTTTTGCGCAGAACTTCTTTCTGGGTAGGCGGCCTTCGGCCGCGCTTAGGGATTATAACCCTTACTAAGTAGAATTCTCCTTTCTGTATTGCCGGAAAAGAAGGGCGGACGTATTTTTGCGCAGAACTTTTCTCTGCGTAGGCGGCTTTCAGCCGCGCTTAGGGATTAAAACCCTTACTAAGTAGAAGTAAATAATTCATATTAGAAAAAACGAAATTATCCATATGCACACTTTCGTTAGAAAACCGAAATAATGCATATAACAAAAACCGAAATAATGCATGCATGCACAATTTCAGTTCAAAACCGAAATAATGCATATGGCTAAAACCGAAATAAAGCATACATGCACAGTTTCGGATGAAAACCGAAATAATGCATATGTGAAAGACGAACGTATGCATACATGCACAGTTTCGGTTGAAAACCGAAATAATGCATATAACAAAAACCGAAATAATGCATGCATGCACAGTTTCGGTTGAAAACCGAAATAATGCATATGAAAAACCCGAAATAATGCATACATGCACAGTTTCGGTTGAAAACCGAAATAATGCATATGAGAAAATACCGAAATTATGCATATGCATACTTTCGTTTTAAAAGCGAAATAATGCATATGAAAAAAAACGAAGTAATGCATACATGCACAGTTACGGTTTGAAACCGAAATAATGCATATGGTAAAAACCGAAATAAAGCATACATGCACAGTTTCGGTTGAAACCGAAATAATGTCTAAATGCGCAGTTTCCATATGCGCAATTTCGGTGCCCCAAAAAAAAATATTTTTTTCAAAAGTAAACTAGCTCACCTTCGAACGGCAAAGTGGGATATAAAGCCTAGTCATTTGTCTTTGAGTTTGGAGGGGTACTTCGCTAACAAGAGCGACAAAATTATTTTTTGCAGAACTAATTAACGGCAAAAAAAAGGCGTAATTTCTCAGAGCTGCATTTCTGTCAAATTTACAGAAGTTTGTTGAGCAAAATTTGAATTCACAGTCGCTCCAAAATGTCAAATAAGCACAAACGTCAAATCCAAATAGAGTAGCAACATCTCTCCCACCGATATTGATGACGATGCGTCGACCAGGTAGCGCGTGACAACAACAACATCGCTGCAGCGGAAAAGCCGACAGCAAGAGGTGAAATTGCCGAATTGCATTTTGCAAGTCACACGGCAAAACATGTGCAGCAACTGGTAGGTGGTAAGAAAGCGTCAGGTATTTAGGCGTAGTCGCCGCAGTATTTTAGTTAGCAAGTTCAGTTGTAATAACTCGACCGATACAAACGGCTGCTCTTGTGCAAACAAGAGAAATAAAATAACATTAAAACCCAACCAAGGGTTTTAATAATTGCTCTTATGCAAGCAATAGAAATGAAATAGCATTAAAACCCAACCAAGTGTTTTAACAAGTGGCGCCCAACGTGGGGCCACAGTGCTGTTCTTGTGTTATCCTTATAAAGGACACATCCTGTGCGTGGTTCGAATCCACTCGACAATTGCAGGAAAGTTAACCACTGTATAAACAGTGAGCCGCGAACAATTTATTACGCAACAAAACATTTTAATTACAAACACCGTGAACATTTATGAAGTTTTTTAACAATTTGAAAA